GTGGTGGCCCGTGGCTGTGGGACACGCCGGAGCGCCCACGTGTTTCCACCAGAGGGAGCCAAAATGCCACGAATCGTGGTCACGGCACGGGTACGGCCGCCCATCACCGCGGCGTCGGGGCGCCGGGCCACGCCGCAGCTCGGGGAGACCAAACGGGGACTGATACCTCTCCATCTGACTTGCAAAGCCAACCTGCTAGGAAACCCCCTTCCAGCCGTCACACACCCCGGGGAGAAAAACCCGCGTGTCTGTCCCTCTGTGGGCTGGCCGGAGGGGGCTTGCAGCCCCTGTCCCGGGGGGCCGTACCCCACTGCCAGTGCTCTCCTCCAGCCCAGCTGCCTGAGCCGAGAATATGAGGTCGGTCGTGTCTGCAAGTAGCGACTGCAGCAGCAAAGAAAGTGTTCCCTGCACCTTGGGGTGGCCCCAAACCGCCTCTCTGACAAGTGGGTTTCTCCCAGTTCAAATCATCACCAAGTACCATCTCCAAACCCAGAGAAGGGATGAAGAAACTCTGCTCTGATTATTTCATAGTGGATGTAATTAGTCCACTATATTAATGTCCATTAAATGAATGCAGATGTAAAGCACCAGAAAGGGAGGGTTTGAGATGATGCGCCTGGTGTTCTTGGAATGGCAACTTGTGGCATCGCACCAGAAGCTCTTTCCCTTTCACACCTCACCATGCCCCAGGTTTGCGTAGCATTGGACACAGCACTGGTGGCAAAAGGGAGCAGGATGGAAATAACCTGACAGATGGGGATGGGAGATGGGTGAAGGGAGAGTTGGAGAAGAAATATCACAGGCTGCACAGTGCCAGAGGAAAATCTCTCCCATTTGCCCAGCAAACTCATTTATTTAAAGATCATGATGTGTAGCAGCCATGTGGGATGGGATTCACACCAGTCCTGAGTCAATCAGGTGCCACCTTTTGGCCATGTGTCTAATCCACCAAAGTCCTCTCCAAAATCCTTCTTTCCACTGAAAACTGCTGCTTTCTGCAGTGACCAGGAGGTCTGGGGCTCCCAGCCCCACACCTGCATGAGGGAGATTTTGGGCACATCAGAGGCGGGGGCTGAGAGCAGGGGGCTGCCATGGTGTCAGCAAAAAGGAGAGAGGACGTGGGCCAGGGAAAAGATGGGATAAATGGGATCTGGGCCAAATCCAGGCAGGCAGCACCAGGCTGCCACTCAGTACTTCTGCCAGAGCAGCCTGGCATGACTGGGGAGAGGAAATCCCATCCAGCTCTGGCATTTAATCCTTCTTCCTGGTAGAGCGGATGGAAATGCCCAGCTCTTGGGGACTTTGAGGCACAGGAAGCAACCAGAGGCCAAGACACTTCTGGGAGGTCACCAAGCCTGGCCAGGCTGCAGGGCCAGCAGAAGGGAAACCCTTCTATAGCCTGAGTTTGTACCTCAGACCCTTCTCATCAGCTCCAGAGATGCTGGAAGCAGAGTGTGCACGCCCCAAGTCTTGTGGTGGGCCAGCTGGGATGGGGAAAGATGCCCACCTGTCTGGAAAACACCTCAAGGAGGGAAAAGACGAGAAAACAAGAATTTCCTTATAACTGCAGTGGCAGGTGGGGATGCAGAGGAAAACTGAGACACAGGAGAGTGGACTGGTGGGATGGGGTGGGACAGGGCCATTGAGTCATGTGGACGCACAACTGTCCCCAACCTTCCTCTAGAGCTGCTAGCGAGGACAGTATAAAGCTGGGAGTTGGTGAGTAGAGGGTTAACCCAGCCCATCCCTTCACCCAGGTGCCCAGCCTGGGCCAGCTGTGGGTGCTTCCCAGGGCTATAAAGGGGCTGAGGGTGGGCTGGGGAGATGCTGTAGAAAGGGCTAATAGGGGCTGCTGCTGTTGCTCCTGGGCTTGGAATGGGGGTAGCAGCAGGTCCAGGCAGAAGGTGGGGGGTGTGCAGTCCCCTCAGAGCCTGTTCCCTAGTTTGGGAACATGTTGTACTGGACAGCACTGGGAGTTTTCCTGTGGTGAGGCTGTGCCAGCCTGACAGCTTTCACCCACTGACTGACTGCCATCCTGCTGGAGAGGAGAACTGGATGGGCTGGATCTGCTGTGCTTGTGAGATGTGGATTTGGAGTTATTGTCAGTGCTTGCAGGTGGGATATTTAATTATTAATTCTGGTTTCTTTCTGAGTGTGGAAATCAGGTTGAGAGTCTCTTATCTCTGTTCATCCACTTAGAATTATCATCTCTAATCTTCTTCCGTCCCCTGGGTGTACCAAAGGCCTCAGCTAATGGCAGGGTGACTTTGGAGTCTTGCTGTAGCCTCCCAGGGTATCAAACAGACCTGCCACCCTGCAAGTGTACACTTAACCTGCTAGTGCCCATG